TGTGTGAAGATTGTGTTTCGGCGTTCTTGCTTGCTGTGACCCACTTTGGTGTTTCTTTTTGATTGTCGCTCGCTCCGAAGGACATCAGGATAGATGTGCATCCCCCAGGCTCTGTGTCTTAGCGTGCTTGCGAACAGCAAAAGGTTTTCTACGGCGGTGCAGGATTCTAGTGTTACTCAGATAAGTCTGCGTTCTACCTGGTGAGGCGATTTCGGATGACGAATAATCCGTTATGGTTTTATGGGCTTGGCTTTGATACTCATCAGCGCGCACAATGAGTTCCATTTGTATTGGTCGTTCCATAACTTACCCTGCAACTTGATGGCGGTAGAAACGTGGACATTTGATTCTACAGCAGTCCTTGCACTATTGTCGGATCCATTTTTCGTTGATTTACAAGGTACGGTAATCGTTTGTTCTGACCTGCTGACAAGTTTTGATTAATTACTGTTTGTCCCTCTATTTGCGTTCACGTGTTCACAACAAAAGACGTGGCAAAGGCGGCCTCCCGGCGGACCTTCACAGCACTCTTTACAAATGTAACTGAGCTACAGGTACCGAGGGTTGGGGTTTGGCTGTTTCATCCTTGTTAATGCAAGGTGTCAGGTCTATTGGAATTTGCTTAGACAGGCGTTGCGATTGGTGCCTGAGTTTCCTTGACATGAGTATGTTTGACAGTTGTAGGTACGGTCAGTTTGGGCCCGGCGATCTACCAAAGTTGAAGAAGACAACGGAGCTGAAGACTTGGCTGATTGCGATTCATCGGTTGCAGATAGCGCAGTACCCTGTTACTTAGAAGCTACAACGCTTGCCTCGTGCATGTTTGCTTCCATTATACTCATCTTATCTTTTTTCTTCTGCTCGACTTCAGCAGTTAAGCGGTCGCGCTTCTGGACAAAGATAAGAAAACACCCAACGTGGGTTTGCGGAAAAAGTAGTACAGAACAAAGGCGCATCTTGTGAGCTATTTCGCTCTCGTATCTGTTGTTGGGACACGTTTGCACATTTCGGATGATACCATTCCAAATCGTGCGAGCAAGCCAAACTTATTTTAACTAATAGATGACATTCTCCTAATCCGCAAAGGCCTTTTGCTTGGAGCCAACTTGGGTCCGCATTTTTGCCATTCAATATGGTGCGATGATCTGACCTAGTGGCTTGGTTGGCTTTCTGCAATTTTCCAGCTTGGAGCGCGACGAATATCGGTCAGGTGCGCGGAGTGGTTGCAAGGTCAAATGTGCGGTCGGCGTGGTCGCACGGCCTGTGTGATGGGTTATACAGACGCACTGGCTGACAAGGTCAAAAGGTCTGACGTGTGACTGGAATCTGCTAACTGAATACAACGCGGAACTCAGCCTGCGATACCCAATTCTTTTACAGCTGCATTGTGAAACGCCGGATTGCAATACGCATAGGCTTTTCATACTGCCTCAAGAATTCTGTATCGAATTTTGTCACTAAGAAAAGCAATTGGCTTTCAATGTTTGCGCAGCTCGAGTGCAATTGTATAGTATCACACTAGGATCACTGCCCAAAAGTTTGTCCAGGGTTTTGATATTTCCATCTAGATGTTCCACTGTGAAGCCATGATCTAGAACGTAAACAGTTCGTGTTGGCAACGCAAAGCGCTGCCACCAGCCTTGCGAGAAAATACTCGAAACAGATTCAAACAACCTAGGTGGGGATGTATAAGTGTGCCACCATAAGGATGACATATTAAATTCCCCCCAACTAGTCCGTAGTTAACCTGATGGTTTGTGATGCAACCGAGTATGTCCGAGAGAAGTCGAATTTCCGTGTTGCTACTACGCGGGGTACGGTAGATGTATCCTTTGAGGGAGCCGCAATGATTTATCTCAGCTGTGATGCAAACAGAGCCGGCAAATTCGTTAAGCATTGGCTCAACAAAGATGTGGCCGAAATTGTTTCATCGATGTATATCACGCAGCCTCCTGCCGGGCTATTACCTCAGTTATTAGTGTAACTAATATATCCTCATGATTATACAGGTTAGCTAGCGGGGTTAGACACCTCAGCTACTGTGCCGCAATATATGAAAGAAAAGGAAAATAAATACGACATTTGCATGCCAGCTGAACGACCATCAACGGAAACGCATCGTTCCGGCATGCCAGCAACCAGCTACTAGGCAACAAGAAACATTATTATGTTAAATTATATTATGCGACGAAATGAGCTGGTGGTTGGTAAAGGAGGCTAAAAGGGATAAGGAGAGACAAAGAAACAAATCAGGAACGCCACTGAGGTCGGCTCCTAGTCATATCAATAAGTGTATCTAGTCTAACGTGTTCATCGTGTTTCAGACCCCAACCAGGGAGCCGTGGCGATCCAACCGAGGCGAGCTTCGACGTGAGGGCTTTTATTCCTCTCGACTAAGTCATCGCTTGGCTACCCCTTCTCTTCTTCCATGCACTTCCCCGGTGAGCAAACAACGCACGTCGCGAAAGTCGGTGGGCTGCCATGCGCAACACGTAGTCCAGCCATTGAGCTATGCTGGGTGGTGTCCATCGCAATGAGGCTGGACCTTACTGTGGTGCGATGGTTTATGTGCCTCAGTGATCCATTGAGTTATGCTGGGTGGTGCATCTTTGCAATTTCAGAGCCACTCATACCAGGTTGGTCAATGGTTAGTGGCCAGACAAACTCAGTATCCTGGTCCTCCAGATTGGGGGTTGGATATACGACGGCACCTTATTCTTTAAATCGGACTCCTTGTAGCCCAATGCCAAACCCGCTGCCTCGAGGCCAGCTTTTTCAACCAAAGGCTTTGGTTGAGAACTTTAATGTTTCTCCTGTCTGGGCTTGGGCCACCTGACAGTATCCTGCCCCCGCAATACTATGAACCTTAGGTCAAACAAAGCTAACATATCCTTGGATATGAAAATGCGGTTCTGATATCCGGTCAGCAAATCCCGTTTTTGGAACTGCAACAATTTGTTGGTCGGCAAATATGTACCACGCGGATATAATAAATATTATTGTTTAGGGAGTAAGCAATAATAAAATTTTTTGCACATCTGTGCCTTTATGTAGACCTAAGAGATGGAGGAAATTGGGTAGTGCAAGGGAATTTGACGCAGAAGAGGGACCCATATTGGTGACAGCATCTTATGAAGACCTATTTTATTCGCAGATAGGAAAGCTAGCTGCATGACATGAAAGAAGGGATGCAGGGTGTGCTGGTGCTTTAGAACAACTATCGGTGGCGCAGTTGCCGCCGAGTAATCTAAAAATGTTGTGGCTTTAGAGGTTGCAATCGATGGGTGCTCGTAAGATTCGGAACAGTCGGTGACCCGGGGTAGGAGTGTGTGCTGCTGGTAGATTGAGATGCACACCATTTTGTTGAGGATCGGCATTCCCGTAGGCTATTGGTATAGCAGTAGGTCTGAAAGTTTACTGGGGACTAAATTTAAAGTGAGATAGACCTCCGTTCCGCCTGTAGCCCGCATTACGCGCACAGTCGTCGTTGATGTGGCTGTAGTGCGGGTCTTAGCAATACGCTTTCCTTTTGCATTAAGTGAGTACCGAGAATCAAGGTGCTCTACTAAATCAAACCTTGTACGCGACCTAGTAGTTTCAGGATACACATTATTTCTATCTTTACAAATGGTGATGGTCACAAGATTTCCTAATGCATAGCTACTGTATTTCGGGTGCACATTATTCTTTTGGCTACGATATACCTGCTTACCCGGTGTACTGATGTAATGGTCCATATCGATGTCCAGTTGTTGGGGTACCGAGACTGATGGGTCAAGGCAATGTACTGGAACTTGAGCGGACAGTTCTTTTAACATGGAATATTTGTCAAATTCATTTAATGCACATGATGCATCGTTGCTAAGAATGGTCTTTTAACTCTGTTTTGCTTACGTTAATAAATTTCTTACGTTTCGAAGAATAGGTAGGTGTCTAATTTGCATGACTTGACATTTCCGATTTGGCGATAGCGGTTTCAGCGAGGCTTTAGTAGGACTAGTTGCAGAACTGATATTAAAAGTAGCTACTCCGTCTCATTTGACGTCGTTTTGATGGCAAGTATTTAATTTAGGACTAACTGGACCCACCGTGCCGCTAAGTAACACAAGTAAAAGATAGGCATTGCTGGCAGTAACTTGAGGGCATTTCAGTGTTGGCAGTGGCTGACTTCTTCAGACCTCTTTGCAGGAGCGTTTTGGCAATCGGTATTCTTAGCGTTGTTAAGGTAGCTTTTTCTGCTGTTCCTACGCCTCTTTTGGCAACATCCTTTGCGATCAATGCCTCACTACATTAAAAGAGTACAGGACAGTATTTTGCTCTGGATGCTATTACAAAGCCCTGTACGTCTGCATCGTGTGTTTGCCATAGTATCTGCTTTAAGCAGGATCTTTTGCAGTGTTTCTACAGTCATTTGATCGAGCAACTTGAAAAGCACTACGTGTTAGGACATCGCATTATAAGTAGCAATTCTGCTGCAACAGTACCATTGTAGATACCGGCGGGTTGTGAATGATCTCTCTTTCGTCTTGTGGTTTTCTTTAATAGAACTGTCAGAGGTTCGAGTATTTTGAGTGTTGCCGCCAAGTGATCAAGAGATGCCAGTTTTATTTAGAGTCCTTCCAGCCTCTCTTGAATACATTTGAACCTAGAGAGCGCATCGTTCAGAGTATCAACAGACTTACTCGAGCGCTTTCATAATCCAGGTTCGTTGGTGGATTTTGGCAACTGTGGGGATTTGCGGGCTATAAAGTTTTTGAAAGACTGGTTGTGTATCTACTCCGCATTTTAGATAACGGTTATGGTAAGAGGACGACGCAAGGGATATGTTACAAAATCACTTTAAAGTGCCTAATTTAGATCGCATGAAATACGGACTACAGGAGTAAAGACTGACCGTTTTCGAGTTTTTCCTGTCAGAACATTCCTGATTGAGCGCTGATCAAATAACGGCGCTGCCGCTAAACTTTCGTCATTATTTTTCATATGACCATCGTTTGTAGATTATGAAATTCGCCGGGGAACATTTGGTGAGTGCAACTTCTATTTTAAAGTTTATGCAAATAGTTATCATGACACTGCAATGTTTCATTTATTTGCCATAGCTTTTTCTAGATTAAGAATTTAGTGTCTAACAAAAGCTAAATAATTCTATACGCAATGGGTCGTTTACACTGTTGTTTCTAGTAAGTACGCGTTGTGCCCACACACATCTATATCATGACACATCATTTGGAAAAGCAGGAGCTAGTGCAGAGTATCTACAAAGAAACTGTGAACATCTGCACTGCGTCGAAGCAAAGTAGTCATAAGTAACCAGTATATTATAATTTAATATTCTGTACAAATTGCTTCCAGTTGCAAATTGATACAGGCTATTCGTCTGCAAGCTACACTTGCATTTCTAGTTGTCAAGTAATCAATTACACTGAGTGCACGTATGATACGGCAAGTTATCGCTAGACAAATTCATAGGTAAATTTATATTCGAACACAAGCACCAGTTCATACTAGTTAGAATATATATTGAAAATAGTTTTTTTCAATAACAGGGTAATTAATTGAATCTGCTTGTAGACCTTACGCAATTTCGAGCTTTACGTCGCAGATAGCGTATTAAGTACCAGTATCTTAAGAAAAATGTCCCGTTGTTTGGATTGTATTTACACTACAAAAGTTTTGCAAAACACCTCAGTAGTTGCTAGTCGCCTGGTTTCAACGGACAAAATGCTCATACGTACGTAGTCAATTGTGTTCGGATCGGTGCGGTCTTAAATATCTAATCCTCAGACATGTGTACACGCAAGCTACTATTGAAATCGAAATGCGTAACCGTTTACAACTGCAACGGGATCCAGAAAATAAAGACTAGCTAGGTGCAAGAGTTCGCTTACTGACATAACCGAAGAAAAAAGGTCTTCTACACCCTCGTATTTAAAACTCAATAGAAATCAACATAACAGCGAATTACATATACTATATTGGTAGGTTTACGTTAGCAACGCAGATGAGTTGCAAGTTGAATAGTTTCCTGAAACACGTTTGTTATTAACGTGGCTTTGGAAGGTATATACCGCAGTGTTACTAGGAAGAGATTAGGTGAAGATTTGCAGTGATGTACTCGTTACATAGTGAATTATGGGATGCAAAACAACGCTTTGACAAAGCCCACAGACAAGCAGCTGTAACAAGTATATCAGTGTTTTCCGGTTAAAAAGAGAAGTTATCATTGATATCGAAATTACCCTTTATCCTAGTTTTGTAACCTATATCGCGTTGATGTAATTATAAAACACTTTCGAAAGTCAGGGTGCTTGGGGGATTGGCTGCACGTACCGGCAACGCAATCCGATATGAACAGATGTTAAGTTAGTGGATGACCTTTGCATACTCCCAGAAGCGGTTTTGAGTTATTAGTTTTAGTTCGTCGCCTCGGCATCTGCTATCATGAACAGAAATACTGTACATGAAGGATTATTTCTGTTAGTGGCCGGTAGATTTGAATTAAACCAGCAAACATCCGCTGGTATTCTGAGTAGAAAACTGAAAGAAGACACAGATCATAATTAAGCTACTTTGAAAAATTAGTGTCAAGTTGTTAACTATGAAAATCAGCCATAATCCACATTTGTGCAGAGTTTATTGTGACACATTAGAACGCAGTTGAAATAGAGCTCAGTTTTTCCTTATGCGGGATGGGTCAAGGAATAAGAACAGTAATTTTGGAGAGCACTGTACAAGTTTTATGAAGTACTGCGAATGTCATAACAAAGCATGGACCGACAAATTAATCAAAGTACTATCTGGCAACCGCAAGTAAGTTTCAACTATTAAATTTATAAAATACTAGTCCATGCTAAGGTCAAAGCCATCAGTAGGCCGATAATCGGGATAATAATGCATCGTTTACATTGGTTCCCTTTTTTGCAGAATACGCCATACTAGTTAGGACCAAATCAAATGCGGTTGATTACCTGAGCGAAATGGTAAGTAGAACCGGAGGACAAGTGTACTAACGTAAACGCCTCCAACTGCTTGAGTTAAATTGCTATTGACAGTAGAAGAGCTGAATATCATTTAGATGATCGGATTTACTAAACATGTAATCCTTAGCTTAGTTGGGCATAACTTGTTTGTTGAACCATGTTAACATCACTCTTTACTTGCTTTTTCGAACTGACAAGTGCCATCATATTCTACCGCCCAATAGCCTACATGTGGTGGTGAAATGCAACGGAATTCCATAAATAATACCCCGGTAATCAGTTGTTGGAATTTCTCACAACAAAATAGAACGCGTCTATGTGTAGAAGATGTAATATGAATGCGAATCATATGATATTCATTATTTCGTCACCTGTCTTCTAACTTAGCTATCCACGAGAAAATCTAACGATGCCCAATTGACTGGAGTAACATGCAAACCTTCAGCGCAACAAACTGAACACATTTGCAGGGCAGCATATAAATATTCGGACGAAGTTTCGTGGGACTACCCGGAATACTGGATCGGTCCGGTTGAAAATCTCATAAAACTGTACGACAGAGTATACAGAAAGAATGTCGAGTTCATTGGAATGTCGTGGCCGGAAGTATTAGGTGAGTTTTCTGTCACGTAGACTTAAGGATAGCGTCAGAAAATTACAGGAAAACGTTTGTGCTTCCATCGCACTGCTTTCAGTTGTCATCAGGAGATTTCCAGAATATATGGACTAGATGAGTCATATTTCATAAAGCGACGTATTGTTTAATCTCTAGCGTGCTAGTAAGTCATCGTTCTGTAAGCGCTGGGCGGTGCACCAATCTAAAAATGCTGAATATTGAGTCGGTTTAAGCGACCTATCCAAATTAGGAGCAACTATCTATCCTGCACAAAATCGAGGTTTACCTTCCTCGTACTGCTAGCGTGCACAACATCCTCTTTTATAAATTAAACGAGCGAGAAATAAATAGTTAAACTTTACAAATTATGCGAATTGAGATATGAGGGTGGGAGGTGAAATATTTATTTGTTACTGTGACCAGACTTTTATCATAATTTAAGCGCTGCGAGTAATTAGTTACATTCCTTTATTAGGAGGCCGTGAGATAGGGAAGACTACAACGGCGATAATTAGATTATTAAATAATCAATAAATTATCCTGAACAGTGCAATACTATAATGATGAGCCATCCAACAGGAAGCAAATTCTTGTTACTTAATGAAGTATTCATAGTAAGAGTACGAAGAAAATATAAACGTGCAATTGATTAAAATATGCACTAAAACATGAAATGATTCCATCTGGTGATCTTTCTAAGATGTCATCCATGTAAGTACCAATAATTCTGATTGTTTAACAATTTTCTGCTAGACTATTATTTCTATGCATACCATTCAAGAGTTTCTGAAATTTGTATTTCCAATACTCTAGTGATAGTAGAACACCGGATTTAATGCGAATTGCTCTGTTTGTCAGAGGGTAACGCGAATCATATCTGTGAGTTTTTCACTTATAGTCCTTACATGTTACAACTGTGTTGACAGTATGCAGTTAGTAGTTACAACCTCATTTTGACTGAATTATGATGGCAACTGATATAACTAATGTGCTATGTTGCTCTCGATTTGGGCAGATGCCGACATTGTTAGATTAATCACTAGAGACAACAGCGACATTTGCGGAACTTACCTACAATACGTGAGTTTACCCACCTTACTGTACGCGTTGTTTATTTACTATTTTCAGCAAACCAATGATTTGATACAAAATTGAAACAACCTTTGATTGTTGATTAACCATTAATTGTCAAAATACTGATTACTGCATATGGAACGTTGGTTTGCCTATACGATCCCATCGGATTTCAAGCTCGATACTTCCAACTACGGAAAATCTTATGTCCATGAACGAATACCAACATTTAAAATCTTGACGCAGTAAGTGTTTTAGACAATGCTGTGTCATGATGCAAGTTTTGGAAATGTATGGGCTGCAATTAGAGTGACCAACTCGTTACTGTCGATTTCGTATTACTTTAGGTAGAACACCTAGGATCAGCGAAACTTCGTACATATAAAATATTCCATGATAGGATTTTAAATACTGTGCTGTAGTATTTGGCTGGTCAGTAGTTAATGGTTTCCCTTATCCAGCAACAGGAGTAGGTTGCAATATGCCGTATGAACTGCAATGGACAGCAAAGAGAACCTAGGTGGCCGGAAGTCAAACCCCAAACACCTAGTAAGAACTAACATAGACGAACAAAGTGTCGCGAGCTATTGCTGTGAAGAGACCACTTTTCGACAATTCACCTTAAGCATTTACACTTACCTTAAAAGTCGATACAAAACAGTAAGCTTAATAAAGCTACAGTAAGGAATGGTTAGGTCACAGTGTAACGGAACGTCAATGAGCCAGTCGATAGAACAGTCAATGCAATCAAGTGGTAAACGTCACCGCTTTCACACCACAAAAACTAAATGCAAACGTAACAAGAAAGAGTAAAATGATTGGTTTGGCGTCAAAGCACACAGTTAGTCCTGGGAAAATGTAGGTACAGACGGTTTCAATAGTTCAGATCAAGACAGCTTAAGCGCTTGTACGAGCGTCCTCTGATTGCATAACTGTGGTTGCAGGAGTTTGCTAGCTATTTCTTCCGAAATAACTAATAGGCTCCTACTGAGTCCTTTTGATTTGTGTTTATATACGGCGTAAAGAACTTAAACGCCTCGGACTACTCAGATGTTCAAGGACAGAGCCATGGGCATTCTTAAGTGTCCGTGCCGTCAAGAGTCCGGACGGTGTTCCGTTATCCTCAGACAGACTCCTTGTGTGTCCGAGGTACCCGACCCACAAGTGTAGGTGAACTGGTCTACATCGAAAATTTGGGAATGTGGCGAAATTCTGTTTGCGGATTTGAGTGATAAACTGAACAGTCTGAACAAGAAGGTGGACTGTTGCAGCCGGATATGTTTGGTTCACAGCGACAGATAATCTTCTGTTCAGCAACTCGTAGAAGTTATCTCCTTTGATGGGAACCGAAATAATGACGTCCATTTTTTAAGACGGCATGTCTTTCTTTAGGTTGATTAGAAACAGCGGAATGTTTGTAGATGCATGTCATGGGATAACCGTTGTTTTGTAGCATTGTGAGAATGAAATACTTCTCAGCATCCAACGTTTCTGTTCTGCAGATTTTTGTGGCGTGAAATTAAAGACAACGCACAAGATGTTTCCTGTATTTCATAGGCACAAAACTAAGGAAATGCTTGTACTCGCCCACCCCCGGCGAATTGCATAATGCTCTTCTCTAAAGCATTCCGTCAGCTCGCCGCCGCAGTAGCACATCCAAAACTGAAATTTCACCGTCGCTCTCTATTTCACAATGAGAGCTGCACATGGTGGACTGGTTAATAAGGTGGATGTACTCAATCTGTGGATCGTATTAGGTGAAAGTATCGTCCATAAATCGCCGAGAGAAATCAAGAGGCCATAAGGTTCCGATTAGGACGAAACTGCATTTTTGCAAGTGAAATATCGGAAAGCAATGGCCATAAAAAGAAACCCCATTTCAACGCCGTTTATTTCACGGAAGCATTTTCCTTCGAACAAGAATTCTTTGTTAATGGTGTAACGCAGAAATAGTTCCTTCACTCCATGTCAAGGTTGTTTTCGGTTAGGTATTCGCAAACGAAGTTAACAGTTTCTATTGAGGGAATGTTCGTAAAAGTGCTTCTACGTCGAAAAAGTGCATCAGCTTGTTCCTCATGTTCATGTCCTCTACTTGCATAACAAATCCAAAGTATTACTCACTGTGTGGACCGGTAGTTCTTTACGTAATGGTTCGAGTAGGTCAACAAGCCACTTGGCAACTACGTGTACAGCAGAGCCGGACATGTCGATGATCGGACGCATTGGTATATTAGGCTTGTGCACTTTTGGCAGCCCGCAGAGGAGGGGTGGATGTGAGCCACATGGAATCAAACGGTCGAGCAAGCAGCCTTTTATGTAGTTGTCCCGCTTGATTTCTTTCAGTAAATGGTGAGTTTAGTTTCATCATTTGCAGTGTTATCCTTTTGTATTGAGTCAAGCATGGATTTGTCTTATCCTGCAAAATGGCATGCATTCTCAACACAAAGGCTACTTTGTTCATCAATACACAAACCGATTTGTCTGGCAGGGTGAACAAACTTCGGGATTAGATGTCAGTTCTCTTACTGCTTGTTTGTGCTCATTGATGATCAGTTTTGAGAGTTGCGGCTTGCTATTCAAGTATTGATGAAAACTGTGCTCTTGAAAGAAGCGTTCGAGAGTAAAGTATTCCAAAGGCTCTAACTGTTGCATTAAAATTTCGAATTGCGTTTGTACATGAATCATTCCACGACAGACAGAAATTCGTTCCCAGTGAAATTTTGCTGGCAAGTAGACACCGGGAAATGCCCGAGTATTTAGAGCAACCAAGTGCAGGTGCACAAGTCGGCATTCAAGGTCCCGATGCAAGTTAGGGCAGATTCTAAGAGAGGTTAAGATAACATGGCGCATCCGTTACATTGCCCACTTTTCTAACAGGCGCTGTGCTCAGCGTCTGACACTCACCTAACTGGTTTCAGCCTGTTGAAGTGTAAATTCGTTAAGGAACCAGGATCGTCCTACTTCTTTAGTTGTTAAGTTCGATCTAATAACTCATCTCTTCCAACGAACGTTCTTTGCAGTTTTGACATAGTTTTGCAGGGACTCCCGGTGTTTTAACCGCTGCTTTGCGCCAGGCATTATCATCAGGTTTAAACTGACTCTCGAAGTCCCCTCGGTTAAAGTAAGCGTTCCGATGACGCTGTGAGTTTTGCATGTGCGCCTGTGCCTACTGCTGGGTTCGCAACAGATTGGACTGTAACCAAAATATATGTTTGGACGCGATTTGAGGCTCACTTTGGGCTTTTGGCAATAATAAAATAAAAAGACTGAGTTTGTTCTTAAATTTGTCGAAGCACACCACCTCAGACAGGATCGAACTTGCACATGCAATTATGTTTCGCTACTGGCACTTTGCTATGCATGAAATGGGTTGATGGCTACAAGGTATAGGAGTTGCAGCAATGGGCAATATAGTGGTGACGAACAAAGTCATTAGTGTGGCGACGGTAGTCTGGCTTTATGTGTGTGCTCTATAGAAATCAACGGTACAATCTTAATAAGTGAACTGGTAATGGAATGTACAGAGGGGTAGTAGCTTTGTAGTGTCCGCATCAAAAATAGTGCAATGTGGCTCTGGTCAACTTGCCAGTGTAATTTTCATAGGGAAAACACAACTCACTGCCAGTCGTCTTGGGGTCTGGTGTTTGGACGGTTTATTAATGGACGGATGCTGTAGAACCCAGGAAACCTCTGGGAAGGGCCGTATCCTTCTAGAGTAATAGACTCTTCATCGTAGTGTGTTGAACTAATCCGTTACCCTCCTTATGTCAGGCACTTGTTCGTGCCCCTCGAATACCAAAAAGGTAGCGTAATCCGCACATGAACGTGCTTTCGTACTTGGCTCCGCGGTTTGTGTCTAACTGGTAAGGTAGGTGTGTCCAAATGTACGCAGAGAGTCAAAATTTGTTAGTTAAAAATATGCCGGGCCATAGCCAAACAGTTAGCTAATAACCAACATTGACAAATGTTATAAGTATTCTATTGCAAGTTTGTAAGGTGAAGGGTGAAATATAATTTGACTACAGTAAGCTGGTCAAGTCAACCACAAAGGCGTTGGTTTTGCTACGCAAAATCTCACGTAGGTGAGAAACACTTTCACTCGTTCTCACCCGGTTCTTGTTAGAAGAGAAAACTGCGAATGTATGCTCACACAAGTATATCAAGCCCGACTAGGCAACCACTTTCTTAGCAAATGGTCATATTTACCAAGGCAACGTAGTACAATTTCCTAATTGGTCAAAAAAAGAGCGCTGCGTCATTGAGTTTTACTAGCATCTGACGCCATTGAAGGTTGTACTGATAACATTCTTATTTTTTACGCTATACAATATCATCTGGAAGCAAATTCTCTAAACGCATTTATTATTTCATGAGGACAATGCGGGACAGTTGAAATTTCAACTCGAGCCGCATTTGGCCTCAAGGCCGGACTTTGAACCTCCCTGTGATAAAGCAATCTACACCCTTCCACTCAGTTGCTGCAGAAATATACTGCCACACCCCATGCGGCTACATTTTGATGGGTACTGCTTCAAACATTTGGTAGAGTAGTTCACAATTACATGGAACTAACGATGGCACCAAGCAGTTTCTGGCATTGGGCCTACCATGTCTCTTTCGTGAAACCAGCCCTTCATTTGCTGCAATGGATGTCGGTTAGTGGTCGGGTCGTTCTTGATCCTTGCATAATTGATGCACGAGTAGTGATATATATTGATGTTACATCGTAGATAAGGACAGCGGAACCGAGCTTGAATTGCCAGCTCCGTTTTGTCTGGCTGTCCTAACTCTTCGTGGATTCTTCGCATAACCTATTGGGTTGCAGACGTGGGTACAACAATTTTCCGTAAATAGGTTAGTTTTTTCTGAAATAAATGACAGCATCCATTATTCGTAGTTGTGAGCATAAAGACTAGAGCACTTCGTTACCCAGCTGGAGCTGGCCAGTTCTGTTTCCGCCGCGTATTAAGCGATTGTATAACGGGTTAAAATCCTGATCCGTGAACTGTAACTGAACACCTTCCTAGCTTTCCAGCTCGTCGAGGATAACATCAGATACACAAGCAGCCTTGCATGTTGAATAAGGCACATAGTCACTGATCGGTCTATGTTACAGAGTATCAGCATTTGCGTGTTTTGGGCCCAGGTGATTTTCACTCTCGCAGTTAAAGTCATGACGCCCGGTAGGTCATATTCTAGAGGTTAAGACAATATGGCGCATGACATCCCTGTGGTACATCATTCGAAATAAGCGGTACCTTACTGTGGTTACTATAAATATTGGCGAGCGCGTGTAAAAATTAAAGTAATGCAATGTACCGGAAGAAGCTTTGACTAACAATGGCACAGTGACTTGATCATATACTAACATTGCCATACTTATACTTTCTTAGTAACAGCACAACTAGCTTTTTGATGTATTGTTATCGATCAAGACCACAGACGATATATTGCAATATGTTGTTTGCCGTACAGAGTTATATATCTCAAGATAACCAATGTGCTAATGTTTCTCCAACAGTTTTTCTTACAGTGATCACTACTAAGATATATATGCTTATCTTTGTAAATGAATCTAATAAACTTTAGTTTGTGCCTGCAGATCTTAAAAAATTCGCTTCATTGTCATATCTGACACTTTTACCAGACCTTTCAGACTAAGAATTCTCTATGTAGATAAACTTCTTTATTAGATCGGCTCACGCATTGTAAACGTTTCCTAGTTCGCAAATATAGACGTTTTACCATGCGCAATCTAAGCTACCCAGACTACATTATTGCTAAATAATAATATATAACTAACCTTAAACATATGTGGCAAAACCTAATGAAACAATAAAAGTGAGTTGTTCATGGCCTTAAAAGGTAAGTTACCTACCTTATATGAGTATGACATAGGCACAAGGATCCGGTTTATTATGATTGCAAAACGTTTTTATACTTTTCTTGTCGTTGGCGAATTTATATAACTACAACAGTTTATTTCTCCACATGAGTTTGCGTCCTTCGGAGTGTTGTCCACATAATTGGAACAAGTACATAAACTGTCATCCACTTTTATATATTAGTCATTCCATTAAAGGAACTTGCTCTTCAAGTGAGCAACTTCTAATCAATAGCTTGTACTAGTATTGAAGAGCATTAATTAAAATTTACTATCGGATGACGTGGCATGATTGTTAATCTGTGCCACACGGCACAGCAAAATTAATGAGAAGTATATCAAGTATAAAAAGGAAAAACGTTGGCACCGTTTATGAGTACAGACACGTTCTTTTACCGAATGACAGTTTTTCTTATTCCTTCTGAAAGCTGACAGACGTGGACTTGAAGGTGAGTAAAGTTACCCGTTTTATTAATTGTTGAGTTCAATTTAATGAACTCACTTGTGGAGGAGAATTAAAATGGACTAGCTTTGCTTGCCTTAGTAAATATTAATTAAGAAGACAGAAGAATACAGCTGAACTCAAACATCCTCCGTTTAAATATGCAAGTATTTCATCAACCAAAAGCGTTGCAACAATCAGAAAAACGTAGTTGGGGTACTTGCTGTTAAAATTACCTTTCCTATAAACAAAACGGCTAAGCTGGTTTGTAGAACTTACGTCGTAATCCAAAAATCGTTTCCGTCCTCTATATACTTATGATCTTGAGAAGCCTAACGGAAATTGCAGTGGTATAGGGTGACTGCTTGACGATAACACTATCATGTTCTGTAAACATAGAAAAGTGGAAATGGATTCCGCGACTATCGGCTTCAGTAGGGCATTTCGGCGTGCTTTCAACTTAAAACATCTGGTTGAATTGCTTCACGCCAGTTATCTGGGAGTCCGTCGTAACCAGACTGGAGCACAACCTGATGCGACGGTTTGCCTACCTCCTGGACACATTGAGCTATACTGGATGGTGCCTCCGGACAGCATGCGCGCTATTTCTACTAGGTTGGTCAGTGGTTAGAGTCCGGACAAACTCAGTCTCCTGATCATCAAGGTTCGGGGGTTTGAAATGGGATGGCGTCCATTTCTGCAAAACCAAATTATTGCCACCTCCCCGCTGCCTTGCACAAAAGCTTTTGAGTCAAAGGCTTTCCTTGAGGACCCTAATCGTCCTCCTGTCTAGGTCTGAGCGCCTTGGCAATATCTCAGCCCACATACAACCACGACATTGTCTTCAAACATAAACTTAGCCTGTATCGGCCGTCGCGTAGATTAACAAGTGTCGTTGTATCTGTTGCATACAGCAAGACGGATAAGCATAAACATGCTACTGCTGGTGCCTCCCTTCTTTCCTTTCCACCTATTTCTCTTACTCCCATCCCGACCCAAATTATTAACATTCCTTCTATAATTCCCAGTTTAATAAACAGCAACCGAAGTACCACTGTAGTAGAACCATATGCAGCCACCTTTCAACAACACCCCTCGGACGTCTATCGGCGAAAATCCCTTATAAGGCCACGCTGTCCCTTATCAAGGCGACATTCAACGTTCGCAATCTAAGACAAACAGGTCAACAGGATGCATTCGCACGCAGCTTGGACACACCGGGTATTGATGTGTGTTGTGTATCTGAAACTAGGACCCATGACTCTAACGGGATTATTGAATTAACTGCACCCGGCTTATCCACTCATTATTGGTTGCACGCATCCGGAAACGTCTATGCAGCACTCACGGGTCAAGCTGGTGTAGGTACTATTTTAAGTTCCAAGGCTTGGCTATGGTTAGTTGATTGGATTCTGATAAACAGCCATTTATGTGCAGCACTTTTGGCGACATAAGATAAGGTTGATTCACGAAATAGTACAAAACGCTGTTTGTTTGTGATTTACACTCATGCTCTAAGTGACTGCAGTTCAGATGTCGTCAAGGACACATTATACGGTGAACTGAAAGTGTTACTAGGCAGTGCTTCTAGTTCAGATATCATAGTAATTGCGGGGGATATGGACGTAAAATTACATCTTCTAAGCTATTCAGTAAGTTGTGAGCATAAAGACTAGAGCACTTCGTTACCCAGCTGGAGCTGGCCAGTTCTGTTTCCGCCGCGTATTAAGCGATTGTATAACGGGTTAAACTCCTGATCCGTGAACGGTAACTGAACACATTCTTAGCTTTTCGGCGCCTCGAGGATAACACCAGATACACAAGCAGCCTTGCATGTCGAACGAGGCACATAGTCCCTGATCGGTCCATGTTACAGAGTATCAGCATTTGCGTGTTTTGGGCCCAGGTGATTTTCACTCTCGCAGTTAAAGTCATGACGCCCGGTAGGTCATATTCTAGAGGTTAAGACAATATGGCGCATGACGTTCCTGTGGTACATCATTCGAAATAAGCGGTACCTTACTGTGGTTACTATAAATATTGGTGAGCGCGTGTAAAAATTAAAGTAAATGCAACGTACCGGAAGAATCTTTGACTAACTGGCACAGTGACTTGATCATATACTAACATTCCCATACTTATACTTTCTTAGTAACAGCACAACCAGCTTTTTGAGGTATTGTTATCGATCAAGACCACAGACGATATATTGCAATATTTTGTTTGCCGTACAGAGTTATATATCTCAAGATAACCAATGTGCTAATGTTTCTCCAACAGTTTTTCTTACCGTGATCACTACTAAGATATATATGCTTACCTTTGTAAATGAATCTAATAAAATTTAGTTTGTGCCTCCAGATCTTAAAAAATTCGCTTCATTGTCAGATCTGATACTTTTACCAGAACTTTCAGACTAAGGATGCTATATTTGGATAAACTTCTTTATTAGATCGGATCACGCATTGTAAACGTTTCCTAGTTCGCAAATATAGACGTTTTACCGTGTGCAATCTAAGCTACCCAGACTACATTATTGCTAAATAATAATATATAACTAACCTTAAACATATGTGGCAAAACCTACTGAAACAATAAAAGTGAGTTGTTCATGGCCTTAAAAGGTAAGTTACCTACCTTATATGAGTATGACATAGGCACAAGGATACGGTTTATTATGATTGTAAAACATTTTTATACTTTTCTTGTCGTTGGCGAATTTATATAACTACAACAGTTTATTTCTCCACATGAGTTTGCGTCCTTCGAAGTGTTGTCTACATAATTGGAACAAGTACACATACTGTCATCCACTTTTATATATTAGTCATTCCATTAAAGGAACTTGCTCTTCAAGTGAGCAACTTCTAATTGAGTACCTTGTACTAGTATTGAAGAGCATTAATTAAAATTTACTATCGGATGACGTGGCATGATTGATAATCTGTGCCACACGGCACAGCAAAATGACTGAGAGGTATATCAAGTATAAAAGGGCAAAACGTTGGCTCCGTTTATGAGTACAGACATATTCGTTTACTGAATGACAGTTTTTCTTATTCCTTCTGAAAGCTGGCAGACGCAGAATTGAAGGTGAGTAAAGTTACACGTTTTATTAATTGTTGAGTTAATTTGGATGAACTCACTTGTGGAGGAGAATTGAAATTGACTAGCTTTGCTTGCCTTACTTAATATTAATTAAGAAGACAGTATACAGCTAAACTCGAACATTCTCCTTTTAAATATACAAGTATTTCACCAACCAAAAACGTTGCAACAATTAGGAAAACGCAGTTGGGATACTTGCTGTTAAAATTACCTTTCCTATAAACAAAACCGCTAAGCTGATTTGTAGAACTTACGTCGTAATCCGAAAAGCGTTTCCGTTCTCTATTTGTTAATGATCCCGAGAAGCCTGATGCAAAATGCAGTGGTATAGGGTGACTGCTTGCCGATGACACCATCCTGTTAGTTACGCATAGAAAACCGTAAATGAGTTCCGCGACTATCGGATTAAGTAGGGCTTTTTGGCGTGCTTTCAAATTAAAACTTCTGGTTGAATTGCTTCACACCAATTATCTGGTAGTCCGTCGTAACCAGACTGGAGCGCAACCTGATGCGACGGTTTGCCTACCTCCGGGATCCATTGAGCTATAATGGATGGTACCTCCGGACAGCACGAGAGCTATCACTACTAGGTTGGTCAGTGGTTAGAGGTCAGACAAACTCAGTCTCCTGATCATTCAGGTTCGGGGGTTTGAAATGTGATGGCATCCATTTCTGTAAATCCAAATCATTGCCACCTCCCGGCTGCCTTGCACAAAGGCTTTTGAGCCAATGGCTTTGGTTGAGGACGCTAATCGTCCTCCTGTCTAGGTCTGAGCACCTTGGCATTAACTCAGCCCACATACAACCATGATATTTTCTCTAAACGTAAACTTAACCCGTATCGGCCTTCGCGCAGATTATCAAGGGTCGCCTTATCTGCTGCATACAGCAGGACGGATAAGCGAAAACATGTTATTGCTGGCGTCTCCCTTCTTTCTTTTCCACCTGTTTCTCTTACTCCCATCCCGACCCACATTACTAACATTCTTTCTGTAATTCCCAGTTTAATAAACAGCAACCGAAGTGCCACTGTAGTAGAACCATATGCAGCAACCTTCCAACAACACGCATCGGACGTCTATGGGAGAAAGTCCCTTATAAGGCACCGCTGTCCCTTTTCACGGCGACATTCAACGTTCGCAATCTAAGACAAACAGGTCAACAGGATGCATTCGCACGCAGCTTGGACACACCGGGTATTGATGTGTGTTGTGTATCCGAAACTAGGATCAATGACCCGAACGGGGTTATTGAATTAACTGCTCCCGGGTTATCCTCTCGTTAGTGGTTGCACGCATCCGGAAACGTCTATGCAGCACTCACGGGTCAAGCTGGTGTAGGTATTATTTTAAGTTCCAAGGCTTGGCTATGGTTGGTTGATTGGATTCTGATAAACAGCCATTTATGTGCAGCACTTTTGGCGACATAAGATAAGGTTGATTCACGAAATAGTACAAAACGCTGTTTGTTTGTGATTTACACTCATGCTCTAAGTGACTGCAGTTCAGATGTCGTCAAGGACACATTATACGGTGAACTGAAAGTGTTACTACGCAGTGCTTTTAGTTCAGATATCATAGTAATTGCGGGGGATATGGACGTAAAATTACATCTTCTAAGCTATTCAGTGTTATAAGACGCGGACACGATCAAAAAGTCACGATGGCGGCGGGCGGAAAACAGGCGTTTATTCAGTATAGGGTAGCCTATTTAAAAGAAATAAACACTGTTAATCTTCGAGCCTTCTCAGTGGGTCTTCTGTTTTTCGGTTCACCTCATTGGTCGCGTTCCCCTTTTATTTCATTGGGTTATGCTATTCCTCTTCGGTCGCTGTCTTCCTGTCTCGCGCAATGATCACATCTTTCGTGCTTGGCATCTGATTGGCCGTATTTCTTTGGACCGCTCATATTCGGCTTTGCACTCTGAAACTTGCCGTTAATAGCGATTCTCGAGTTGCCAGTGCGCCCTCTATGTTCTATTGTCCAATCCGGTTTGTCGGTTTCTGGATACGTGTGCCACTCGTGATTCGCTGTCCAGCCATCGCTGTGTCTCCCGGTGGGTTCACGCGTTCTCTCGATCGAACTGATCTGCTGACTCCGGTAACCTGCGCTTAGGTGGTAAGGTCGAGCATACTGGACCGGTTTCCTAAACCCCGTTACATCCTTTTCCTTTTGTTTTGTTAGGATTGCGCCGCAGTATGTCCCATACTGCTTTCCGCTGCGTGTGAGTTTCCTTCCTTCTGCAGGGATGACGCGTATCTGTCTTGGCTGCTGTTGTCCGTTTTCCATCTGGGTAACACGCGTACAACCTGCTTTCCGGACCTGTACTCGGTTCCGCTTAATTGTAGTGTCCCCAACCTTCACTTCATAGCTTCTCTCTCCCTTGCGGCTCTGAATAACTCCCTTCCTCCAGTGTCCCTCTGATCCTGGTACTGGTTGCACCCACACTTCTTCTCCCAATGCTAGAGGTTGGAGTTTTCTCGCCCCGCGATCGTAGTATCTCTTTTGCCTAAGCATTCTGTTTCGTAACCGCTCGTGTATCGAGGTCGTTGGTGATACTTCAGGTGTTAGCAGATTTGACGCAGTTGGTATCAACGTTCTTGTCCTCCGGCTGAAGAGTCGCTGCACCGGACTTGCCCCAATTTCTGTTGATGGCGTGTTTCTGCGTTCCAGCAACATAATATAAGGGTCCTCCTGAGTCTCCTTAGCTTTGGTAAGCACCTTCTTTGCTTCTTTTACCGCCGACTCGGCCTTTCCATTTGATTGGCTGTGATATGGGCTAGTAAGCCGGTGATGGAAATCCCACTTTCTGCTGAACTCTCGGAACTCTGCGCTAACGAACTGCGGCCCGTTGTCCGAGACTACTACCTCCGGTATTCCGTGACGAGCAAATTGACATCGTAGCTTATTCACCACTGCGTCTGTACTGGTCGTAGCTAGAGCATCGATTTCAAAGTAGTCACTGAAATAATCAACCAACACTAAGTAACTTTTTCCATCGTGGATGAAGATGTCTACTGCAACCATCTGCCAGGGCCTGTCCGGAACGTCACGGAGCATCATCGGTTCTTTTGACTGACGTACGTCGTGTGTTCGGCATGCCAGACAATTTGAGACGTAATCTCGTATTTGGCTGGTCATTCCCGGCCAAAACATTAGCTCTCGCGCTCTGGCCACACAATTGTTGACTCCCAAATGTGCATAGTGGACAAGCTCTGTCATCGCGCGCTGCAACGCTTTGGGGATTAGTATCCTATTGCCTTTGAATATCAACCCGTCTTGGACAATGAGTTCATCACGAAAATGGAAAAACGGGGTCAGCACTCCTGGTAGATCTTTCTTGTTCTTGGGCCAGCCACTTAGTATTGTCTGCCTCAGTAGCTTGCATAACTCATCTTCCTCTGTGCACTGCTGGAGCTGTTTCAATCGTTCCTCGGTAACAGCTACTAGTTGTGCTGCATGAACGAAATCTGAATCTTCGTCTTCCTCTGGTGTGTCTGACAGATATGCCCTGGATAACGTGTCTGCGATATGCATTTCGGGACCAGGTCGATACACAATCTCTAGGTCGTACTTTTGAAGGCGAATAAGCATTCTCTGTAAGCGGCGGGGAACAACATGTAGCGGCTTGTTGGCGATGGAAACCAACGGTTTGTGATCTGTAAACACTGTAGTCTTCCGGCCAAATGTATAGTCATTAAAACGTTCGACGGCGTAAACAACTGCAAGCATCTCTTTTTCTATCTGGGCGTAACGACGCTCGGTCTCTGTCAACGTCCTACTGCGAAAATCGATGGGTTTCCCATTCTGCATGAGTACGGCCCCGATACCAAATTGACTGCTGTCGCATTGAATCTCGAGAGAGAGTTGCGGATTATAGTAGGCGAGAACAGGTGCGTTAGTGATGAGTTCCTTGATTGCCTGGAAGGCCTCTTCTTGTTCTGCACCCCAGTGCCAGCTTTCGCCCTTATGAGTCAACTTCCTGATCGGTGTCATAACATCAGCTAACTTGGGCAGGAACCGGCTCAGATAATTGATCATCCCATTTAGCCTGCCAACCGCTTTCACATCTGTGGGGGACGGCATATCTCTTATAGCTCTTACTTTCTCAGGGTCTGGTTTTAGCCCTTCCGCGCTTAACACATGCCCATGAAATATAACCTCTGTACTGCGTAGTTCGATCTTTTCACGTTTCAGTTTGATGTTTCTTTCAACACAACGTTGTAAAAAGCTACGAAGGTTCTGATCGTGCTCTTCACGAGTAGCGCCAAAAACCAACACATCGTCCGCTACGCAGAATACTCCCTGTAGATCGTCCAACGCTTGCATTAGTCGCTTCTGGAAGATTTCGCTAGACACTTTCAGTCCAAACGGTAAACGAAGCCAACGGTACCGCCCGAATGGTGTTCCGAAAGTTGTCATGTAGCTTGACTCATCATCTAGTGATACGTGCCAGAACGCAGAGGCGAGGTCGACTTTCGTGAACACTTTAGAATTGCATAACACCGGCAGCATGTCGTCTAGTGTCGGTAACGTAAAATACTCTCTTTTGAGTGCGGCATTAAGCGGTTTCGGATCAATGCATATACGCAGCTCGCCTGACTTTTTTGTAATAATCGCCACCTGGCTGACCCAATCAGTCGGTTCGTCAACTTTAGCTATCACTCCCAGACTACAGAGACGTTGCAACTCACTCAAGAATTTTTCGCGCAAAGCAATTGGCACCTTCCTAGCTGGTAACGCCACCGGTGTTGCTAGCTCGTTTAACGATAAGTGAGCGGGTCCCTCGAACATCCCTACTCCGCCATCAAACACACTCGAGTACTTATCAAAAATATCTGCCTCGATGTCACACGCATGAACAAAACGTTCGTGGTTAAAAGAAACAAAACCAAAACGCTGGATAGAATCAATGCCCAGAATGGGCATAAGGTCTTCCGAAACAATCAGGAACTCCAGCGGGTGTTCTGTTCCTTCCTTTGGATT